CAGCACTCCTAAAGATAAGGAGGCTGGGTGGAGTAAAAATAAAAAAATTGTATATGTGTCTGTTAGGGAGTTTGTATGTGTGTGTGTGTGTATGACATTGTGTGTATGTGTCAATGTGTGTATCTGAGTGTATGTATGTTCCAGTGTGTGAGTGTGTGTGTGTGTATCTGTGGGTGCAAGTATGTGTATAGATCACTGTGTGTATCTGAGTGTATGTGTGTTTGTGAGTCAAGATGTGTGCATGTGTGTCAGATACACACACCGGCACATACAAACACAGATGCACACTACACACAATTTGATACACCGACACATACTGGCACATAGTGACACACACAGTGTGTATCTGTGTGTATCTATGTGTCAGATTGATACACACACATATACACACTTTGACACACAGATACACACTGCGTGTACACACTGGCACATTCAAAAAGGGCACAATTTTTTTTTTTCCTTTTTTTTTTTTTTACTGGGGAAATGGGGGTTCCTTTATGTTGATACACTATGTCAGAGGGTTCCATGGGAAAAATTAAATGGGAACCCCTGGACTAGGGTGTTTTGCTAGAACACTGTCATTATGGCTGTAAGAGTATTATGAGAGACATAGTTAACAACATCTGGTGTTCCACGTGTTTTAAAACTTGACTGTGTCTTCTGTTCAATGTGTATACCTCAATAATGAAGGTGCAAGAAATTGGGGCAGGAAGGAGTTGAGCTGCAGTGTTTGTCTTCCAGTTATGCAGTGAGTGTCGTTGGTGACAAGTTGCGGCTGGAAAGGGAGCAAGATGTGAACCAGGCTCTCCATCTGTTAGACGTTCTAGATAAAGCTATAGCTGCAGTGTGTCCTACCAGAGTTTAATTTCAACTACAGACTAGATTTGGAGATTCTGTTCGGGCCAAACTTGGCCAAATTTGGGCTAATCTGGTTGATTTAATTTCCAAACTCCAAGATGATATTTACCTGAATCACACACCACCCAAAACGTGCAGGTACATGCTCCATTCAGTTTGTGATTCTGAATTTTACCCATTGCACCAAAAAGAAGAGCTGGTTGATGACTAGAGGACAGCCACGAAATGTTGGATTTTTAACCAAATGGTGGGACAATATTCCTATTGGTGTATTGCAAAATGCGTAGATAAGGGATATATTTTGCAGCATTCTGATTGGCCCATTAATGAGCACTTTTTCTGTTCTTCTGATTCAGTATCGGAATTCCAGTTCCAAAATTCTTTCGATCCAAACTGACATGTGCCTAATATTCTGAGCCCCCCAAAAATATTCTCTTTTTAAAAAACTTTTTTTTGCCAGTGCACAAGTCTACTACACACAGCCTACACTGACCACAATGTCCAACTACCGGCAAGGAGCCGTTCCAGCTCTTTCTTTATGGTTAGGTTGCTATGCATATGACAAAGATTACAACTGTACAAATACTTTTATGTTTACAAACAAAAACAACTTTGTTAACTTCTATATTTAAACTTTTTATCTTTTTCTTGATATTCAGACCGTTGATATTCAGACCGGTCAAAGTTTACAATTTAGAGTTAAAGCCAAATAGTTGCAAATTAGTAAGTTCCAGTGATAGAGCTTGGTGTTTCAAAGTGTCAGGAATTAAACTTGACAAAGTGATCCGTTTTTTTGACAGAGGGTGACATTTTTCACACCTGCTCCAAGAAATAACAGTAGCTGGTTTATTTAACCCTAGGGCACTACAAGTAGTTTATTGTAGAGCAGCTCAGCCTGCAAAGCAGATTAAATTACACACTGATTACAGATACTTCCAGCCACACTGAGCCACAAAACGCAATCACTGAAATCTGTGGCCAGAACTGTACACTGCATGGGCAAGGAAGTTAAAAAATGTTAGGCTTGAATTAAAGAAATGTTTCCAATTTGTCTGATCAGGCATAACATTTACAATATCTTTTTATCAATACTCCACAATTGTTAGTTTAGTTACTTAACCCTGTGTCTAAATTACATATGCGTATGATCTAAAGCAGGGGTGTCCAACCCATGGGCTGCATGCGGCCCAAGACAGCTAGCAATGCAGCCCAGTTGCAGTCTGGGTGGAGAGAAACTGGACTGGCCCACCCAGGCAGACAGCTCTTAAAAGCCATTTAAATAATTTCCCCCTCGGACTGTGACAGCCTGTGTCAGTCTGAGGGGATTAATGAATGAGGTGCTGGAGGCTGCTGCAGCCATGTTTAGGGTGCTGGTGGCCGGAGGAAGCACTGTGAGGCTCCCTTCACCATTCTTGGCAATTCCGTGTCCATGCTCCGCCTCCCGTACATAAGCCTTGCCACCGATGCAAGCTCTGCCCCCGCACTCAAGCAGGAAGAGGTCAAGAACTGGCTCCCACGGTCTTCAGTGCCAGAAAAGCTATAGCTAATTTGTCAGTGATTTTTGTGTGTATGTGCCTGCTAGTGAGTGAGCTTGTATGTTTGTGTGTTGGTGAGCTTGTCTGTCAGTGTACTTGTCTGTAGTGAACGTGTGTGTGTTAGTGAGCATGTGTGTCAGTGAGCTGGTATGTAGTGAGCATGTGTGTGTCAGTGAGCTTATCTGTAGTGAGTTTGTGTGTGTGTATGTGTGTGAATATGTATGTATGTGTACACCCACACAAGCTCACTACAGACAAGCTGTGTGTGTGTATATGTGTGTGTGTGTGTGTGTGTGTGTGTGTGTGTGTGTGTGTGTGTGTATATATATATATATATATATACACACCACACCGTAATAAATGTCATTTTTGTGTATGATTTGTCAGTTATTGTGTGTGTGTGCTTGGGGTCTGTGATTGTGTCTGTGATTGCGTGTGTGTGTGATTATGTGTTTGTAGATATGTGATTGTGTGTATAGGTCCATGGTTGTGTGTGTGTGTGTGTATGTGTGTGTGTGTGTGTGTATAGGTCTGTGATTGCGTGTGTGTGTGTGTGTACATCTGTGGTTATGTGTGCGTATGTGACTGTGTATAGGTCTGTGATTGTATGTAAATGTGTGGGTCTGTGATTTCGTGTGTATATTAGTTATTGTGCGCATAGATCTGTGATTATGTGTGTGTATAGGTTTATGATTGTGTGTGTGTATGTATTTAGTAGATAGCTCCCTAATTTGGTATCCTTAAATATGGCAATATCACATAAGGATTACTTAAGGATAAATTCATTATATGATAGATTTTATGTGTGGCCCAAGATAATTCCTCTGCGCTCAATGCGACCCAGGGAAGCCAAAAGGTTGGACACCCATGATCTTAAGTAAGCTACATATGGGTGTAGTATATATGTTGAAGGGCTGCATTCTTGCTCCCCCTCACCCCTTTATGTGGTGGTTGGTTAAAAGGACATTCAGAACTCCTAAAGCACTTTTGCTTTCTGAAATGCTTCATGCATGAAGAGTGTGTACTATTTTTATTTTTATTTTTTTAATTTTGCAAAAAGTGCAGAACATAAAAGTGTAAATGTATCTTGTCACACACCCACCCTCCTCTGGTTGTTAATGAGACAACCAGTCCTGTTGCTTCCTGGTTGTTGAGCTAAACTCAAGAGGCATCAATTGCCCAGAGCACCTGCCTTACACAGACTTTTACATTGTGCTGCATTGGGAAGTCTGTGATTGGACAGACACAGAATGTCTGGGTGGGGTTAGATGGGGAGGGCTTGAAAAGTCTGTAGACAAGCTATATCTGTAATTTTTGCAAGCTGTTTTTAGATATAATCAAAAACTGCATAATTAAATGCATGCATGTTTTTATTTGGGGGTATATTTACTTCAGGGATTTTTTATTTTAATTTATATTGTTATTTATTTTATATTGGAGCAGTGGAGTGCCCCTTTTAGATGTGATATGTATATGTGGGTTGGCTAACTGTGATTGTGTGAGGACTGGCTGAGTTTGATTTATGTGTGAGGGTTGTGTGTTTTAAAATTTAAAAAATTCTAAACCTTCTTCTGCTTACATTTCTGCATGGAGGGGATATAATTCTACTGGAGGCCTGATCCCTTCTGGTGAAGCATATGGTCTGCACCTCTGAAGAGTGCAGACTACATATTCACTCCGGAGCTCAGTGAATGACTCAGAGCATTTACAGTGCTCCTGCGGTAATTTTATTCAGTATATTGCTGAATGGGCATTATACTAAATTACGGTTTTGCTAGGGGGGCTATCCAATGGAGAATAAATTGTCACTTTGTAGGAGGACTTCTGGTTCACAAGTGGTTCAGCCAGGGCCGGATTAACATAGGGGCTGATGAATCTACAGCTCCAGGCCCAAGCCCATGGAATAGGCCCATTGATTAAAAAAAAATATATATATATTATAAATTCTTTTTTTATTTTTATTTTTTACCCACACTACTCTTAGGCTTGCCAGGTATTTCTTAGGGTTGCCAGGTATTTATCAGAAGTATTTCTCAGGTATTTGAGGCTGCCTAGCCGGTGCCAGTATTGCAATAATACCTGCAATACAAATGTCAGTCTCAGTATAAACAGAGATTATTCTGCAATAGCAGCTACGAGCCTGCAGAGACAGCCAACAGCTCAGGTAAGTGTGTGTGAAATAATTTACTTTGATTCCAAGGTTCAAGCTTATAGGTGTCATATTAAATTCTATTTTAAAATTGGCTAACTTGGACTAAGAAAATTATTCATGCTTAAAACAACACATAAGACCATATATGTCTAGTTCCGGGAGCCGATAGCCCCCACCTGAGCTGTCTCTTCTAAATCAGTCTGTTCTTTTTCTTTCTCGGAAGTTATCTGTTATATGTACATGACGTTCATCCCTATGTCTTTTCTGTACTCCTTTCACCCTTTCACTCCCTTCCTACTGCTGTCCTATGAGTATTTGCACGTAAGCACTTACTTTTTAATGTATAAAAACACTTACTGTAAAATAAACGACAGAAGCTTATTTTGAATACCAACAGGTGTCTGGTGTCTGGGGGAAAGGCTGCAGGGAGACATGGAGACTCTAGGGGACACTAAGGGACATGGGGACACTAAGAGACATGGGGACACTGGTCTCAAAGTCGCCCAGTGTCCCCATGTCTCTTAGTGTCCCCATGTCACTAGGGGCCACTGTGAGACATTGGGCCACTGTGAGACATGGGGACACAGAGACTAGGGACACTGAGACATGGCGCCACTGTGTCCCTAGTGTCTCAATGTCTGTGTCCCCAAGCTCTCACCGTCCCCATGTCTCAGTTTCCCCTAGTGTCTCAGTGTCCCCAGGTCTCCAAGTGCCCCCAAGTCTCTCACAGTCCCCATCTATCACAGTTTCCCCTAGTGTCTGTGTCGCCAGGTCTCCCAGTGCCCCCTAGTGCCTAAGTATTCCCAAGTGTCCCTATGTCACCCAGTGTTCCATGTCTAAGTGTCCCCTAGTGACATTGGGAGACATGGGGACACAGACTCTAAGGGACACTAGGAGAAATGGGGATACTCGGCGACTTTGAGTCCTGGGAGGCATGGGGCACTCCCAGTGTCCCCATGTCTCCCAACCAGTGTCCCTAGTATCTGAGTGTCCCAATGTCTCCCAGTGTCCATAGTGTCTCAGTGTTTTCTAGTCTCCCCTAGTTTCCCAGTCTCTCAGTGTTCCCTAGTATAAAATAAAAAATCTGAGGCATTCACTGTGATAGATTTAAGCAGGTTTATTGGACACGTCAATGTTTCAACCTGTACCCAGGTCTTTATCAAGTCTCCAGTGTCCACTACGTATCAGAGTGTCTCTGTGCCTCATGTCTCTCAGTGTCTGTGTCTTTAGTGTCTCCATGTGTCTCAGTGTTCCCTAGTATCTCAGTGTCCCCCTTGTCTCCCAGTGTCTCAATGTGTCCTAGTGACATAGGGACACAGAAACTAAGGGACTGGAAGACATGGGGACACAGACATGCCCCCTTTTTGGGTATGTTCGCCCCTTTCTGCAGTTCTGGTTATGTGACTTGCGTCTGTGGGCCACCTTTTAACCCACCCATAGACTTCCTGCTTTATTGGACACTGCTGTTAGGGGGTATTGATTTACTTGAAAGATGAAAGCATGAGATTAGCATAGGGTATGTGTTTTCTCATAGCTGCATCCTATGAGTTTACCTCCAGCACCATCTCCATCAGATATATGACGCTTGGGAGGTAGTACTATTTTAGTGTTTTTGCTCAATAAGATTTTGCAATTAGGCCCATCATAATTGTCAGCACCAGGCCCACTGGGCTCTTATACTGGTCCTGGGTTCAGCATTAACGTGTAAAGGAACAGCGCCTTCTAAAGGCTAACAGAGGCACCAAACTCCTCTTATATTTATCTAATGTGGTGAACACAACATTGTGGAAGCATAGGCATTTTTACCTTCATTATTTAAAACTTGAGCTTTTTCTAATTGATGTTTAAAATGTATATGGAGTGGATTTATTGAAATATTGCATTGTACTTGGTAAGATTTATTCAGTAAGTAGTTTGGGTAAAACTTGGTGGAATATGAATACACAAAAACAAGTCCTGCGCTCAAACTCCCACTACTCTTGGGCGGCAGCAACCACCATAGTGCACATCAATCCCAATACAAACAGTAAAACCAAAGGGGAAAAAAAAGTTATCTGCGCTCACATGCTTATTGGTGGAGTATGAATTGACAACCCGGTTTAAAACTACATTTGCCAATATGAATGAAGCTCTTTCTTTGCTATTATTTCTCAGAAACACATTAACTCTAAACGTTGACTCTTTTCAGGAGCTAGAGATGGTAGGGGCATTTCATGTTTGTATTTTTCTTTTTTTTCTTTTTATTATATCCAGAACACTCTGTTGTAGTATAGTTTTGAGACCGTTTTATGCAAATGTGTGACCCACCATTTTAGTATCTGCATAACGTTGTCACCTTAATGAGATAATGCTGGAATTATAGCACCATTTATAATATTGGGCTTCACAAAGTATGATCTTTTGCCTTGTGCAGGGTGCATCCGTTCTGTGTTTAGGGGTATCTAGAATTAGGATAAGAAGGTACTTACATTTTGTGAAGCTTCGGACGAAGGCCAGTAGGGCTAGGGATACCTGCCTTTTATAATAGGAGTTACATGTTACAGAAAGGTGAAACTTAGGAGCTACAACCCACAGGATCTTGAAAGCAATTACCCCTAACATCAAAGAACCACTCAATACATGATTTGCTTTTTGTTATTTTAAATATAAATAGGTCACTTCAGCTAACATCAGTATGGATAACTGGCTACCAAAAATAGACAATCTCATGCATACCACCAAACAGATGTGCTTCAGCAAGTGGTGGGCCAAAAGTCCCTAACCACTACTGGTCTTCCTTAGTGTCAAGATAAGGTTTTAACGCCCACAGGAAAAATAATCTGATCTTGAAACAAATGCAGAAATATCACCAATGTGTTAACTATTTGCAACTGATGTTTGTGGGATTTTACTTGTAGGTCTTGGACAGCTGTAAATATTGAGAGATGAAACTTGATAAGAATGTATAATGGATTTTTTCATCTTTACATTGACCATGTTGCAACTTGCTCAATGTGTAAAATAGTCTGAAAAGTGTCACAAAGGTTATTTCTGGAACAGTGATGGCAAACATCTCTTAAGTGCAAAGAAGCCTTTCAAGATTCTTCCATAACTGCTATAAACTAGAGTAATAAAGGGCAGTGTTTTCCAGCCTAGTATTGAGGTCAAACAAATGGTCTCAGAATAGAGCCTTTTCCATTTATGTTCCAGGGGGATACTGAAAAAGTGGGCCTTTGGTGTGCCTTGCAAACTTGGTCCCATTTAGGGACAGTCCATAAAACTACATGTGAGAAGCAGAGTTTATGGGTCCATGTTTGAGATCACATAGATTACCACAGCCATGTGAAGTTGCAAACATCCAGATGAAAGGTGGGCACACCATTGTCCCTTACCCAGTTATTTATCTCCCATGATGCTTTGACAATTTTATGGCTGGAAAAACCTCTTAGGTTTACAACATCTCAGGGTCCACGTTTGACCACACCTGACCTAACTTGGAACAGTGAAAATGTTAGTTTGTTATTGGGACTGGTCTGGGCCTATCCTAATGTGTTTAAAGGGACACTTTGATCACCATAACAACTTCACCTAAATGCAGTTGTTAGGGTGCCAGGAAGTCAGGTCCAGCACATGAAGAGAGGTCTGCGGAGATTACACAGGATAAGAAGAAAGTGTATGATCCTGTATGGACAGAATATTAAATCCTTTGAGATGGATTCTTGTTTGGGACTGTTTTTAACTTTTTGTATTGACGAAATGAAGTATTAAGGTGACTTTGACTGTTGGTGAGTCTGTGCCTCTGAGCATTATTGGATCCCAGGCATGCAAGGGGCTGATCTCCCCACCCTTCCCCGGGGCCATTTAGTGTTGAGTGGCACTTCATCCACTAATTTCTTGTGAGTAGTCTATAAACAAAGAAAAAAACAACACAATATTGCACTTATCCCTGCAGCAACCAGCAACCAATCTTGGTAGAACAATTATAACTAACCAATAGTGCAAATATTGGTACGCAATAAAATAAAATCAGAAAAATCCTATCAATAAAGCAACCAGCTTCTAAAACCATGGTTACAGGAAGCCAATCAGTAGCTCCCTATGCATAAAAAGTCACATTAAATCTTTGATTGGACCTCGCGTGGCTCCCATGATGATGTCGCTGGATCCTTATTTTTCTTGTTTTTGTTTAAAGGGACACTTATTGAGGTTAATCTGGTATAACCTGTCCCTGCTGACTTTTTTTATTTATTTATTTTAATTGACCATTTTTATTCGTTTTCATTGTCGCATAATGGCGCCTGCTCGCCGGGGTACAGAAAGGAAAAAGGGTAATGCAGGAACATTCTAAAACATCACAAATATAGCACATGAACATTGATCTTGAGTTCAAGTGAGCAATAAACTGTATCTTCATAGGTTACATCGTGATCAAACATTTAATGGTATTAAGTTCCACCCACAGTTTCCAGTTCTCATCAGTAGCATGGCTTCACCCAATACCTTTCCCCTACCCTCTAAGGTATTTACCTCCATACATTAACATGTTTACAGTTTTGCCCCCTCTTCCTTGTTTCAGGTACTACCCTGTCCTTCCAGGTAGGCTTCCCATCTCTCCCTTGCCCTGCTGGTGTGTTTCCCAGGTTTCTTGTGTTTGTTTGCCATTGCTTCATATTTCCAGTTTGATGTAATTTCGGTTATCAGAGCCTCTTTAGTTGGTGTGAACTGTGATTTCCATGCCTTGGCTATAAGTGTGGCTGATATCAGGAAGTGGAATATCAACCTCTCTTCTATTTTATTTGCTGTCACGGGGAGTATAAAGAGCACACATTGCTCTATACTCCGTTTCCATGGTCTACCCAGCAGCTCCTTTGCTATACCCTCAACCATTTTGCGTTTTTGGGTTGTAAGGGCCAGAATCCTGCGCAAAACCACCAAATGTGTCCCACTGTGCCCCTGCCTGTGTTGCATGTCCAACAAGTATTGGGGGAGTTTGGGTAGATGTTAGCCTGTCAATTTACAGATGATCTCTAGGTGTGTGGCACAGAGTGTGTTGCCTCAATGGACCTCAAAGGTTTGCTTAAATAGGTCCGCTTCCACTAAATACCGCAGTTCCTTATGCTATGCCTTTTGGAAGGTTGCTTCTACCTCTGCAGTTTCTGCAAGGAGTGAGTTGAATAGAGTGGAAAGTACTTTCTTGGGAAGGGGGGGAGGGGGGTGTTAGGCAGATTGTCTCTATCGTAGGTTTGTGTGCTACAGAGTAGTTTTGTATTTTTTCCATGGTTAGCAAAGATTTCAGTTGCAGATACGAGAACAAGGCTCTACTGGGTATGTAAAAAATAGTTTTGGAGTTCCTGGAAAGGCAGAAACTTATCATTCCTATAGAGGTGTTTAATTCTAGAGCATCCAGTAGATGATCGGGGATACTGCAATATTGCCTCAGGATCCCCTCTCTCTCCTCTGATTTCATTCCAGATTTTCAGAGTCAAGGATGTGGTCGGGAGGGGGTAAATCTGGTTGGCGCAGATGTCTCTGGAGCCAGAACAGACATATTGCT